AAGAATGCTTGCAGAGAGAAAGGGAACGACTAGAAATTGAAAGGCAAAAACTAGAGAGGGAAAGGATGGAACGGGAGCGTTTGGAAAGAGAGCGTGTCCGTATCGAACAGGTATGCATATTTATATTTTGGACCGTAGTGTAATATCATTTTGGAGTATAACTCAGTTTACACGTGGGGTGAATTTTTCTCTTCACCCTTCCACCCAGGCCATAAAAGAACAAACCAAACATTACAACATCCACAACATACAGCAACAATAACCTTTATCTTGTTTCCTTGCCTTGCGTGTAGTTTGATGGCAAATTCTTGCTACTGGTTTATGCAGTGGCAATACATGTCTGTCTCTAAACCTGAAGTTCAGCAGATCATATTGCCTATACCAGTCTTCCATAATTCTACTAGATTTTTCCTAGAGAATGTCACTGCAAACTTAATGAGATGTATTTCTGGGCAACAAAGACAGTAGCAATACAAGAAATTACCTGGAGATATTTCTATCTAACAGCCAATAGCTTCTCCAGATCTGTTGTCTATGTTTTTAGAGAAGTATTCCTTACGCTCTTTAATCTTAGTTGCTATCCAAGGATGAGTAACATCAGATAGCCTTTAATGGAAAACTCAAGTATTCATTCCATATATTTGCTAACTGCTTTATAGGTATCTCTAATAAAGAGCTATTTTGTTTGCTCTGTTTATTCACCCTTCCCTTTTGTGGTAGGAACGTCGAAAAGAAGCAGAGCGTATTGCCCGTGAAAGGGAGGAACTTCGTCGACAACAGCAGCAACTTCGTTATGAACAGGAAAAGAGGAATTCTTTGAAACGTCCACGTGATGTAGATCACAGGTAAGCTATTTCTCAAACCATTGTTTCATAGAGCTTAGTGTCAGACTAGAAAGTGCACCTGAAACAAGTCTTCACCGAAGAACTAGATTTCTGGTATTTGTTTGGTTTAGATACCAGCTTATGCCAAGCATGAAACAGACCTCATTTGTAGAAGAGCATTAGGAAATAAGAGAAGCATCCCATGAGTTAATTCTTAATGTACAAAACCAGCATACCACAATTCAGTGCATTTGCTGAGAAAAGCAATTCTTAGCAGATTGAACGAGTGATCGAAATTTCTAGCTTCTGCTTTGTTAGGAATTCACATTTCTGGTAAATGGATGGTTCAGGAAATCTGTGTGATGGATTTTAATTTTTACTGAAGCTGGTGACATCTATCATTTGCTGTTTGAGTGACATGAATTGAACTGGCTTTGATCTTTATTTGATTATAAGAATAGACTTGAGACCTTAGCCATAAAATTAACATATCAGTGGTACAGTGGAAGGTAAGTTTAAGTCATCATGGTAGATGCAGTAGCAAAACAGTAATATTTCTTCACCAGAAGAATAAAGACAGCTTCATTTTTCAAGGCTACTGATCATACACTTGAGTATCCTACATTCTTATCATAGAGACTCTATGCCTGAATGTTTCTAGTGAGCAAGCATGTGAAATTTCCTGCACTAATCTTTCCCGAGACAGCTGTTCTGATTTGTGGGTGGCTTGTTTTTGTGGTTTTAGGGTTTTTTTTCTAGAAGGCAATTTTTTTTCCCTAGAAGGCTATTTTCAAGGCAAAATTTTGCTACAGTGAATTTTTGTTGGGGGTTTTGTTGTTGTGTTTGGGGTTTTTTTGTTGTGTGTGGTTTTTTTTTTTTTTTAAACTGCCCAACACAGCATACTATTGATTAGATTTTTATTGATGTTTTTGTCTCTTTAATTTGCACTTCAAACAGAGGGGTGGGGTTTTTTTTGGTTTTTTTTCTTAAATTATTTTGTTCACTGCTACTTAAAGTGTCTACCTTTGTTAGTGGGTTTCCAAAAGTCAAATGAGTGCCTTTAAAACAGACAGCTGACTTAACAATTCTCTGCATACTAGGCCTTGATTTGGATACATGTAACTGATGAACGTTCATTTGTTTTGCTTGAAGGAGAGATGATCCTTACTGGAATGAGAATAAGAAGATGGCTCTTGATACAGATGCACGTTTTAGTCATGGTTCAGATTACAGTCGCCAGCAGAACAGGTTTAATGATTTTGATCACAGAGAACGGGGACGATATCCAGAAGGTTCTTCTGTTCCATCATCATCTTTTGATAGGTAAGTTTAGGGCAGGTATTTGCCTGCCAAAATCTCTGTGAATTTCACTCTTAACTGTTCAAAATCTAAAATGGTGCTAAAGGCTTTATACAGTTCTGATGCAATAGAATTGCAGTAGTGTCCCAAAATTTCTTGTGTCTTCAAGACTGGTCATTTATATAATGGAATCTGGTCCACTTTTCTATGAGGACTTTAAATTAGCTGCCTGGTGGTCCTTTTTGACTGACATCTTGAAAGAATTTTTGCGATTCTTCTACCAGGAAAAAAGAGACCCTACAATTGCTTAAATTATACTGACCAGAACGTGAACAGATAAATGCATAAAGAAACGTAAACTGTCTGTAAGAACTTGAGCTCAAAATGGCAATTGTAGAAATAAATGTAATTTGAGGTGGGAAGGATCTTTGAGAGATATACTACATATGTAGTACTAAACATGTAAAGATGAATAATATTTTTATATACTCACGTATGTGCTTACGTGTGCAGAGAAGTGGGAGACAAGCAAATTACTTTTTCCTATTTTAACAACTTAGGCGAGAACGTTTTGTAAATCAAGGTGAAGCAAAAAAGACTCGCCCAACAGCACGAAGAGAAGAGCCAGGGTTTGAAAGGTATCCTAAGAACTTCAGTGAGTCCAGAAGAAATGAACCACCACAACCAAGAAGTGAACTTCGAGATACAGACAGACGAGAAGTGCGAGGAGACAGAGATGAAAGAAGAACAGTGATAATTCATGACAGACCTGAAATACCACATGGTCGACATCCAAGAGAGACTGGTTCAAATCCACCTAGGCAAACAAATTGGAAGAGCGAGGGAAGCATAAGCACAGACAAACGGGATGGCAGGTAAATTTGGCTAACTAACAAACTAGTGAAGGTACTAATTCTCATAGAACTCGCCTATAGTAGCAATTGCTCAAAAGGTGATGTGTAAACAGACCCCTTCCTAAAGAATGGCAAAGTCACTTTCCAAAAGCATTAGAAAAAATTGTGTGTAGATTGTCACGTGTGCTAAACCTGCTCTGTAAGCTTGATGCTGACTCCCAGAGGTCTATTCTTAATCACATGTAGCAATGTATAGTAAGGAGGCTTTTGTGCAAGAATGCAGATGTAAACAAATAACATGTAAGCTTTAATGATTTAGAGAGCCACGTGGATCTAAAATGATGTTTCTAAGAAGCTAACTGCAAGTTGCTAGGAACCTGAAAACCAAAAAGGGATCTTTGAAGTCTACATGTGCTATGATTTGGTACCAATTCTATTATACTGAAACCAAAATTTTGATAAAAGCAATTTTTACAGAGGCGAGAGGCCAGATCGATCAGGAAGAGAAGTGTCTGGACATGTGAGAGGTGCACCTCCTGGTAGCCGTAGCAGTGCTTCTGGGTATGGAAGCAGGGAAGGAGAACGCGTGATGGGAGAAAGAGGTGGAGGACAAGTAAGTAATCTTGTGTTTGTGTGCATGAGTGAGAGACTTGAAAACGCAAAAATGCGCTGAAAAATTACCTTGTAGCATCATATAAATCATATTCTGCCTATTTTCAAATTTTTAAAGGTTTTTGTTGGGTTTTTTAATAGCCAAGAAATTGCAGAAGACATACCCAACTCTTATGTCTAGCATAAGGCAGATGAGAACAATACCTGATAAGGCTTTTAAGAATTTGTTGTCACCCTGTGTTTTCAGGGTCTTAACCTTACACTGCCTGCTATTTCCACTACAGTTTGTCATCGTAATCTGCAATATGCTATTGAGAGAAAAACCTTCCTTCTGTAAGATTTGTCTTAACAAGCTACAGACTAAATTGCTCCATGCTACTAGATTCAGAGGCATTTGGGAAAAAAAAAAAAAAACCAACCCAAACTTTTCTGTAGCTATATGGGACATGCCTGTCAGTGATTATATGAGATCAGGGCAGAACCCATGCGGTCATTATTGCAAATTTAGTTTCTTTTTGTTATTCAGAGTTATTTTTAACAGGAGCTAACCCATGCTTACAAGAGTCCTTTGGACTGAAATCTTAAAAGTTGCATGACTTCTGTATGTTTTATATATATAAGCTCTAATCTTAACTTTCTTGAAAAGCTAGTTCCCTGTTGATAATGAAATACACCTTTTATTCCAAAAATGACACTTGCTTTCTTGTTAGCACTATAATGAGGACAGACACGTTGTTGAACGCCACAGTCGTGAAACTGGACCAAGAAAAGAATGGCATGGACCTAGTTCTCAAGGAAGTGGGTATCATGACACAAGGAGAATGGGAGATGGCCGTGGAGGAGGTGGCATGATGTCTCCACATACAAGGTACAAAACCTACTTCCTCTCAGTCCCCTACTGAGCTCTCAAAGCTTTGGTTTTGCTTAGGGAGTACAATAGACTCGATGCAGCAGCATTACTTTCTATGGATGGGTTGCTGCTGCACAATGTACAAACCTGTCCTTCCATGGCAGCACATAGCTCCACAGTTGTCTTGCTAATGACAGTATTGTTCAGCTGCACAGAAGCAAGTGACTTCTTGCAAAATCTCTTTTCGTGCATAGTTTCAAGTCTCTTTTGAGACTTACAGTTTGTTACATCTCATATCACTCAACTGTTATTCTTACCTGTACGCCAAGGATTTAGATGCTTACCATAACTTAACACTCTTTTAAAACCTTTGTTTCCAGTAACTCTTCACCAATTAATAGAGTTGTACAGATCACAGGCAATTCCATGCAGAGAGGAAGTGGCTCAGGATTTAAGCCATTTAAAGGTGGACCTCCACGAAGATTCTAAGAACTACGGCTGCTTGGTCTCAAGATAACTTATTGAAATCTCTTGTAAACTTTCTCTGATTAAAAACAGGAAACCTTGTCTGGAAGTCCTGGTTAAATTTTTTTAATTTAACATGATTATTTTCCTCTCAATTTTGGAGGCATTTTAATAGTTACGTTGTAATTTTGGATAGTTTTTGTGTATCTTTGATAAGCATTTTCCCTGAGGCACTAGAGCTGTCTAAAAACAAATTGGAACCAAAATATTTGTTAATCTGTATAAAAGAATAGTTTGCAGCTGTGTGCTAGTAGTTTGATTTACCAACATTAGCTCTGTGGTGTCATGCTTTAAAGTTAGCTACTTATCACAACATACACAACTATAACCTCCATTTTGAAGGTTGTCCAGGCTCTTCTCTCTGCTTTCTAATTTGTAGAGAAATAAGATTGTTCTTTCGTTACTGGGTATTATGTAACCTATTTTTGCAGAAGGTACTGTTACATTGAGTGCATTTATGTGTATTCTTGCAAATGTATTCTTTTGAAATAAACCTTCATATTCTGTATAGCTTCTAGTAAGTCTTTGAAACTTAGTCTTTGGGGAAGGAAGACTGAATTTAACAGATGTGTAGGTATAGCATATCAAAACGTGGGTGCCATTAACTTGTCTCCATAAACACTGAATTGAAAATCTAGGAGCACTTTTGATAGCACAAGAAAGATTAATACCAAAAAAAGATAGGAGGCCTAAAGAAATAATTATATGCAGTTTGCTCTTCCTGTATAACAAGGCTCTGGCAGAACTGCAGTACAGGTTATTTTAAACCAGACTACCACAAATAAGTGTTACTTAGAGTGGTTGGGGAATCCTATATATGCAGTCTTGTTCAGGTACACCTACAACTCATTCCTGATGAGGTCTCAAGCAAAATCTTGTGATTTTAATGTTCAGTGGCCTATGTTAAATCTTCCTTGATCAGGCCCAATCAGAAATGTCAGGTAGTCAGTCCAAGACTCCTGTCAGTCAGCCAGCATAAGTACATAGTTAAAAAGTTGTTGTTCAGCAAGTGAAAAAAAAAAGAAAACTTAGAAAAAAGCAAATCTAATCCATTACATAGTGGACAGAGAGATGAACAGAGGACCTTGCTGATAGAAGATAAGAAAAGAAAGGCTTGTAAAGGAGTATTTGAATAAGAACTGGAAGGTTTTACTGGTCCATATTGTCTTTTAAATAATGATTTAAGTTACATATTTGAAGGCAAGAGCCAGTAAGAAGCACATGGATCTTTGCCACCCTCAGTTACAGCCTGTTTGCTGTGTGGAAGAACTGCTAAGTTATCATCTGCAGTGTTCCAGGGGAATTAAGTATAGCAGAAAACAAGATAAATTAAACTGTATTTGAGTAAGTAGCCTTTCAGGAAAGAAAGGAGTAGAAAGAAGCCTCATAACAGCATATTCTATAATTAATCCTTTGTGAATAGTCACAATTGAAATATTTATGTTTAAACAAAAGAAATATGCTGTATCAGCAAACATGTCAGGATACATTTATCCAGTAACTAACTTACCTCGATGCATTTCACACATCTTCTGTTGTTCAATTCTTAGAAGAAAAATCTAAGTTCAATTTAGTGAATTTTTTTGCAGGAGTTTCCAAGAGGAAGTGCAAGTTAACACAGTGCATTTTAAAAAGTCCATATCCATGTGGCTGCAGTCTGTGCTTCATTAGGCGTGACAATACAAACTAAGTACTTGCTATAAGGTGAATGTGTAGTGGCTAATAGATCAAATGGGAAATACAGAAAGTTTATACCCTTAAAAGACAGAGCTATAGAGACATACAAAAATAAAACTCAAGATGTGGCTTGGTATCTTGTCTACAGTAAATAAATCTAGATGTACATTCCAACTGTTAAAGGTATAAATAATATTTACTTTTTTGCTTAATTAAATGAAAATATGCATGTGTAGATATTCCACTTAAAATATGGATAATGGGGAAAAAAAACTGATTGAAAACAAATTGCCCAAAACTTTGAATTTCTAAAAGATTTAGATCAACAGAAGCCTATTCTTTTCCAGAGAAAGATATTTTTTTTTTTAAGTATTTCTTCCAACCTTTATCATTAGGAAAGAACTTAAATACCTAAATGAAATGTTTATTTAAGTTTGCTCACTTTAAATTTATTTACATACAATGAATTTCAGAAGACTCTTAACCAAAATAAATCTCAGTAGGGTAAAGACCTTAAGCTGTAGAAAGGCAGGTAACTGAAGAAACTTTCTAAAAGATAACAGAATTTAACAGTTTTTCTTTTGTGGTACACAAACAAGAAGGGGTATTAAGATACAGAACTGGACTTCTCTTTTAAGTGTTCAAAATTATTTTAACAATTTACAAGGAAAATGTTGTTTCCTTATAGTCTTTAAAAACACATTAATACAATATAAACAATTAAGGCTTTTAAAATGCAAAACATTCAGTAGTTGAACTTGTAGATGCCATTACAATGTTGGATAACAGTGTAACATGATGGTGGAAAGGATTTCAGTCACAGACATTGGTACAAACAATACTGCATGACTAGATTTAATCATGTCATGCACTTCTAAAATACAATTTTTAAAAATCTAAGTTCTCCCCTCTCAGTACACCTACAGTCGCTTGCATTAGCTTTTATTTTTGCGTTTCCCTTTAAAACTAGATTTAGAGATCATTAGGCAATTAGAGAACATTAGGTGACTAACAGGCTCACACCTAAACTGCTGATTAAACACAGCAATTGCACAATTTTGGTGGGTCTAAGCATGGCATCTTGAAGACATCACTAATGTGGGCTTGTTTGGAACTTCCCTAAACCACTTTTTTTTTTAAAAAAAAAATTTCATTGTAAAAAGAGCCAGTCAGGACAATAGAACAAGGGGCAATTTCTGCAGGATTCATGTTTGTACATTTCATCAGTTTCCTCTGAGGTTTCTTTAATAAGCTTACACATACATGTAAAAGATGACTATCAAATGTTGTACAAATAATAGCTATGCATCTGTTGACCAGAAAAAAAATAATAAAAAATTACTTATGAAAACTTTGATAAGAACTTTCACCAGAAGCTGTAATAGGAAAGATAAACCAAAACTTTGTTTTTTAACATTAAAGCTCTATCAGGTTATTGGGGGGGGAACTGATGACAGTATTTTTTACTCCCCCTCTAAAGAAAGAAGCTGTAAAGTACTAACATTCTGTGACTTTTTATGTAAGAACTGGTACTGAGCAAGTAGCAACAGATTTAGAATTTATTTCTGTGGGACAGGAAAAGATACTTCATATTTTCTACAGTTTTAAGCACCACTACCAAATTTTTTGAGGCTTGACCTATAAACAGTGATTATACACTGCAAAAACATAGCGGGGAAAAAACCATTCATGAGTGACATGATTTGGACAATACAATCTATAGCAGCCCGGGGGGAAGCATTAACTGCTTGCTTTTTTCAAGTACAAACTGTATCAAACCAGAGCGAACGTCTGTACTGTAGCTGTGTGACCAGTCACGCTCTTTAACATCACGTACAGCACTAGTGACTTCAAGAGTTGCCAAAATATAGATGAGGAGGCACTTGCTACAACAGATTTGTCTCCTGAAATCACTGTACCTACAGTCACTTTTTAATGGGTTCTCAAAAGTTATTGTTGCTTACCAGCCTCAGAGAGAAAGCATGTAAGAAATGCAGAAATGCAAGCACACTGCTCTAGAGTATATGAAATACAAATATGTAATTATTGCAACTATTCATGATAAAAAATGCAAATGCTGAATTACAGGTAGTTTAAAAATTCACAAGCAGGTTTATTGGTTCACTGTATCTATCTGCAGTGGTCTCGAAGACAACCAGCTACTATGGTTTTCCAAGCAAAAGAAGGATTTTCTTTCCACAGCAATATTTGTAAATACAATTCAGTTGTAAAGTCTACCAGTGCTGCAATTGGCCAAAACCCCCAGACTGTTATTTACGCACCTCACATAGAACCTGTTTTCAAATGTTCAATCTGAAGCATTTCACTAAAACTCAATTCTAAACAAAACCAGTAATTAACATAAAACAGGTCCTTTTGGTTTTGCAGATTAACCAAGCTGCAGTAACAAAAGCCAAAACAAAGTAACAAAAAACAAAATTAAGAGGCTGGTTGATGCCCTGACACCAAAATGAAGAGAAAATAAAGTTCCATTGGAAATAAGCATAAAACACTGAACATGTAACCTGCTAAAGAGCTAGCAAATCTGAAGACACAGTTAAATTCAAAAGTGAGCTTGTTTTTTTCTAAAAATACACAAGATAATCTAACTTTCCTCTTCAAAGAGACAGAAATAGCAGAGGTTAAAATGTCTTATTTGGTCTGATATTTCTCAAAAGGATAGTGCTGGTCATCAGCTTCCTCTACACCCTTTGGAAGTTCCAGCTAAAGTTGGCAGTACAGACTTTTATTTCAGTTGTTTCTCCCAGTTCTCTGCTTGCAGAGTCACTACGTGTTGGTAATTAACTGTGAAAGATTTTAATAAATTACGAAACTGGCTTGCGTAAGTCTACCCTGAAATGTCACGTTCCTCCTTCTGGCTGTGTCTGGCAGCATGAAGTTGGACTGGGCAGACATTTACTAAAAAAAGATTTAAGACAAGTGTTAAGTATTGCAATACTGCTCCGGAAGTTTGAAAGGTTCCTAAGATGCATTCAGCCGCCACTAATTACTGTGACTCTAAGATAACCCTGAACTGTTAGCTATTGCAGTTCACAAGAGACCATAGTAAAAAACCAAGATGTTGCATTATTTTGTTTAGAAATAATTATTTTCCTAACATTTATTAAAGCCTTCCAGTGAGATCTCTACAGCATGGGTTTGCTGCTGATGACACAGTTCTAAAGGTGATTGCAGCATATACAGCTAAATACAACATTCTCTTACAATGTCAAATGTTAAGGTGTTGGTTTTCTTTTTAATAATATTATGTTCCATATAGACTTAGTACAAGACAGGAAAAACATTGTGTCAAATCATTACAGTTCTTCAGAAACTTTTATGCCTTCTTTAATTTCCCAAGACTGAAGAAGACAGTGCTACGAAGAACATTTCACAGTAGTTTCAAAGTCTGTTAGGAAAGCAGTCATCTAATTTTCTGTGTTTCTTTCACAGAAAGAAAGTGCATTTATAGCATGGGCAGAAATAATCACGCTAGCTTTATTATAGCTGGCACATAGAATAAATTAGAATATGGACTTAATGAAAATATGTACTTGGAATTCATATATTACATGGAGAAGTCCATATCATCATGTCCTCAGTATGAAAACTGTTAGCATTAGCTAGATACAGTTGGCATGGTTATGTCTCCTTAAACTACACTGGGTCTTCATGAGCTGCATCAATGTACAGTCAAGGAAGGCTAACAGAGCTCATCTTGTAAAACTCCTGCCTATTCTGGATTCGTTGAGATGCAGCGTATAACAGCACTCATTTTCTTCTATCTAATTTTATCATTTCCATGAAGTTTTATAATTTACCATTGCCAAAAAGAATGTTTTGGTAATGGTAAAATGCTTTACTTGGAGTTTTCCTTTAACTGTTCTACAGCTCTTCTATTTAAAAGCATCAGTGTTGGTAAGTGTAAATACTGATTTTGTTGGTGTTATTTCTGTGTCTGAAGGCAGAAGTGTTAGTATCTGTTTACTTGATTACAAGCATAAACATTAACTCACCAGCTTCACAGACTGGACCACATGAGCAAGCCTTAAGAAAAAACATATTCAATGCAAATATTAATGACCAGATATAGCCAGTTCATGTAAAGGGGAAAAAATTGTCTGGTTTCATATTGTTACTTTGGAGTTCCCCAAAACAAGAGATGACGAAACCCAAGGATGTACCTATTACTCAACTGATTTGTTTACTGACACACTGGTGTGTCTTCCGATGGCAATTCTGACCCTCTCCTTGGCATGTGCCAGTGAACCAGAACAAAAGTCAACAGAATGTTTCAGACAAAAATACCAGTTATCCTGGCTTTTTCTGAAACATCTTTAGAGGAAATCTAAAAACGCTAAACCATGTCAGGTGATTTCCCAAACCTAGCAACATTTTGTTGAAAATTTTTCTGTGCTGTCACGTAGAGGTAAACATAGGATATTGACTTCTAAAGATAATTAACCATATAATTAAAGTTCTTAACATCAGAAAACAAGGAATTGCTCATTTCAACACATGACGCTTCTCCATGAGTGCAAGTAATCCTACTAACCAGAAAAGGAACTGTAAAGGCAGTAAAGAACTTCCCGATTTCAGCAAGTTCCCTAGAGCTAACTCTGCAGGTAAAGAGAGCTCAGAGTAACAGAGCTGACAAAATGACCAAAACTAAACAGTAGATAACTGACATTTAATAAAAATATTTTGAGTTATAAGAACAGCTAGTCTTGACCTAGAAGCATTATTAGAGTGAAGAACAGTGCACACAGGGACAGACGCTGCCAGCCCACAATGAAATAAGCACACTGCTTGTTACCTGGGTGAGAAGATTTGGCCGCTGCATGCTGTGCTACAGCTATTTAGGTCTAAGATAACAGCAAAATTAAGGACAAATTCCTAAACTATCTCCAGAGGTGGTGTAAGGACTTATGTTCCAGCCTGTCTTTCCTCCTCAGCACTGCCCTACAGCACTTCTTCCTCATCAGAGCAGATGACAGCTGAGCTTAAATACATTGCTTTTCTACTGGGCAACTATAAGAACAAGCTGTAAACAAGAAGGAGCTATATGGAAACACTACGGAAATTAGCATCGAGTAGACTTCTGTGCAATTGATTTTGTACAAGAAAGTGTCATTCATCTCACCAAATTTTCCCACTGAAAACAACACTGCTAACAGTCTATTGCTAGTTATGCTTAAAAATAAAAGCCCTGACTGCACTGAATCACAAGATAAAATGCGTATGTTTAAGTTCTTGCACACAACATTTGCTATCATTGGACTATATGAACAATTTTCAGTGTCAGATTTTTCTTGTTACCAAGGTCTTGTTATCATAAAAGAGGTGGAAAAATTGTGAGCATTATATTACAACCAAACTAGGCTTGTTATTTTTGCTTTTCTCCAATATGCTTTCTATCTAATGAGGATACTGCATCAGTTAACTTGCATTTCTTGAGTCACTGGCTGTTTAAGGTTACAACCTTAAAAAAGTCTACTTTTATACAAAATAAATACAGCTCTTAATTCAGTATGTTGTATTTAAGGACATACTTTGTATAAACTTTAGCAATCGACTGTGATAAGCATACTAATGGTAAGAAAGCTGATCTAAGCAATGAGCTAGCTTTGGGTTATAGATCTATTTGTAGCAGGAAAGAAGGTTCAGTTAAAAGTACATCAGCTTCACCTTTTTCTCGAGTATTTCCTGCT